TTTCCCCAATAGAGTCTTTGCACATTTTAACCAGACCTCATATTCTCTCCATTAAGGGTTATAATCTCTCTGAACAAGTAAACAAAATTAGAGGGTTCTTTTGTTTTCAAACTTTAAAAATGAAGATGTTTTACCGTTTTAAGGCCTACACCTTGTCCTCTATTATTTGATGGTCCAGCAGACGCACGTCCAGCCTAGATGACAGGAAGGGATGACCTATAAATGTCTTCATATGATCATATTAATATTGTGAAAAAAAACAAAGCAGAAAATGCTTAATTTATTCTGAGCTCACACACCACAGGATCATCATCTGTAGCTTCAGTATCAGATGAGCAGGAATATATAATCTGTGCATCACTGCGGACAGCGGTAGAGTCTCTCTCGCTTTTTAACTGAAAAATAGAATGATATCGTCTTTCTATTTTTCCTCCCAAAGTTCATCAGTCCTTGCATTAATGAATTTTTACCTTTTTAGTGTGTGAATCTCCTCTGTCTTTTGGCTCACTAGGGCCATGACCAACCTAAGAAACAGAAAAAGATGCATCAAGACATATGGTAAACATTAATGTGTGGCTGCACCTCAGATATCAACCTGTCATTGATTTCAGCAGCGTGATTAACATTTCTTTACTTAAACGAAGCCATTACGTGAACAGCCAGACCTTTGGGGGCATCAAACATTAAAAAATAATTTCATACAAATAAAAATGAAATCCTGGGCAATACTGCATCTTTAGAGACTGGAAAAGTAACGTGCCCTCTTTGTTGTTGCATGAAATATGATGTCACCCATGTTATTTAATTTAATTCAATTCAATTTTATTTATATAGCGCCAAATCACCACAACAGTTGCCTCGAGGTGCTCTATAAGAAAAATAATACAAAGAAAACAGAGAAAACCCCAACAACAGGGTCTAAAAGACATGTTGATGGTTTGGAGGAATTATTTACTGAAGTTAGCTCAGAAAGATCAATTGTAGCTGTAGATCACGTTACATCTGTGAGATGATTGAGTAATTTTTTTTCTCTAATGGTTAAAATTTAATTCATGAAGAAGTTCATGAAGTCATTACTAGTTGACGTTAAAGGGACGGTTGGCTCAACAGCGCTCTGACTTTTTGTCAGCCTGGCTACAGCGCTGAAGAGAAGCCCAGGGTGGTTCTTATTTTCTTCAATCAGTGATGAATAATAAGGTGTTCTAGCTTTTCATAAAGCAGCAAACTATTTTTTCAGGTCTTCTACAATAAATTTTCCAGATTAGTGAGACGTCATTTCCTCTCCAGCTTATGAGTTATCTGCTTTAAAGTCCACGTTTGAGAGTTATACCAGGAAGGCAAGTACTTTCTTTTTCAGTGGAGCTACAGTATCTAAAGTTGTACGCAGTTAAGAAGTACAACTATTAACAAGATAATCGACCTTTGTGGGAGGAGCATTCAGGTACCTGCTCTGCACTGTGTTGGCACAAGGCGTTGAAGAAGATAACAGTGGGTGAATTATATCCTTATACTTAGTTGCAGCACTTGTAGAAAGAAATCGACTGTGATGAAATCTATTCCCCACTATTGTCTGAGAATTCAGACAGAAACTCTGAGTAAGGCCCAGGTGGACAATCGATAACAGCAAATAAAAGTGTTTTTTGAGTTTTTAAGCCAGGGAGGACAAGACGAAGCATCAGGCTTTCAAATGAATTCAAACTCCGCCTGGGTCCCTGGTTGATTAACAAGCTGGAGTGGAAGAGTTGAGCTTCGAGGATTATTGAGGCACAGGATATCCTGTTCACCTCGTTATTTCTCTGTGTGCATGTGTTTCACAATAACTACTGAAACAATATAGTGCAAGTCCATCCATCCATCTTCTTAGGCTGCAGCGGGGGCAGCAGCCTAAGCAGAGAAGCCAAGACCTCCCTCTCTCCAGCCACCTCCTCCAGCTTATCTGGGGGAACACCAAGGCGTTCCCAGGCCACTGAGAGATATAATCTCTCCAGCGTGTCCTGGGTCTGCCCCGGGGCCTCCTCCCGGTGGGGCATGCCCGGAACACCATCAGGAGGCATCCTTGTCAGATGCCCGAACCACCTCAGCTGGCTCCTTTCAATGTGGAGGAGCAGCGGCTCAACTCTGAGCCCCTCCCTGGCTGAACTTCTCACCCTATCTCTAAGGGAGAGGCCAGCCACCCATCGGAGGAAGCTCATTTCCGCTGCTTGTATCCGTGATCTCGTTCTTTCGGCCACAGCTCGTGGCCATAGGTGAGGGTAGGGACGTAGATCGACCGGTAAATTGAGAGCTTCGCTTTTACACTCAGCTCCTTCTTCACCACGACGGACCGGTGCAGTCTCCCATCACTCGGGAACAAGACCCCACGACCCCTTGTGCAAGTCTTTGTGGTTAATTACAGGGGGTGAACTGACAAAAATAAATAACTCAAATTTTGTAGCTAATCTAATTAAAATTCCTTTTTAATCTAAAAGAAATGAACTGAAATGACTTTCAGAATAGTTTATGCCTTTTTTAGGGTATAATTATATATTCACACTCTTTAAAAACACATTTGCAAACAACATTCAGAGATATTCCGGCTCTTAGAAAATGTCAATATAAAAAATCCCTCGTGAAATGCTTCCCAACATGTAAGTGTGACAAATCAAAAAGAAGGCTTCCTGATTTGTCACACTTATATGTTTCACATATCAAGGTAATTTTAATATTTCTGACAACCATCAGAAAGGATTACAAAGCCATTTATTAGGCTTTGCGACATCAGTGAGAGACATCATCCACAAATGGAGAAACTTTGAACAGTGGTAAACCTTCTCACTGTTCTCTTGTCCTACCAAAATTACTCAAAAAGACTAAAAAGAAACACACACACACACACACACACACACAAAAGAACAACTTCTAAAGAACTGCAGGCCTCACTTGTCTCACTTAATGCTAGCATTCATGATTCAACAATAAGAAAGAGACGGGGCAAAAATGGCATCCATGGGAGAGTTCCAAAGAGAAAACCATTCCTGACCAAAAAAGATTCTGTGGACTAATGAGACAGAAGATGAACTTTTTGAAAAGTTTGATTTCCTTTACATCTGGCGTAAAACTAACACAGAATTTCATACCAACAGTCAAACGTGATGGTGATAATGTGATGGTCTGGGGCTACATGGGCAAAAAAAAAGAAAGAAAAAACAACCTAGTCTAAGTCTGGACTTAATTCCAACTGAGATGCTTTGGCATGGCCTTTAACGGGCCGTTGATGCTCCAAAACCCTCCAGTGTTGCTGAATGAAAACAATTCTGCAAAGAGTGGGCCAAAATTCCTCCACAGTGAAAGACTCATTTCCAGTTATTGCAAATGCTTGGATGCAGTTCTCGCTGCCAAGGGTGGCACAATCATATACCTCCCTTGGTTTAGGGGGCAATTATTTTTCCACACAGGGCCGGGTAGATCTTAAAAGCTTTTTCCCCTCAATAAATGAAATCATCATTTAAAAACTGCACTTTGTTTTTACTCAATTTTTCTTTGCCTAATATTCAAATCTGTTTTTTGTTCTTAAACGTATGACAAGTATGCAAATAATAGTAATAATGACTAAAAAAAGACATTTTTTTCAGTGTATCTAGCAAATAGTTAAACAAAGCTTCTTTCGTTAGAAATCATTTAATGACAGAAGGTTTTGCGGTTTTTTTGGATACAATGTTACCACATTGAAACATCAGAGTAGGTGAATAGCGCCGATCATTTGTTACAGTGTAATGCAGGAAGACTCCCGGCTAATCGGTTCTTACTTTGACACGTACCTCCCACTTATGCACAGCTGGCACCACTGGCCGCTAAATAATAACTTCCATATTTTTTTTCTTTCCAGTTGACACCAGTTATCCGAAAGCTGTGAAGCAGCGTTATTTTCATCAGGGTTCAGAGCTAAGAAGCTCGTCTGGATGCTGCAGGCGTCTAGTTTTGTACACACGGCTGCTTGATTTGCTGTTTGCAGAGTAATTAAGGGTTACCTCGCTGATCTTTGTCTTTGCAGACGTCTTTGTAGGGCGCCCACTTCTCGGCAGAGTAGCCACAGTACTGAATCGCTTCCATTTATACACAATTTTCCTAACTGTGGAGCGATGAATATCCAAAGTGCGTGCGATTATTTTATAACCTTTTCCAGCTTTGTGCAGATCAACAATTTGCGATCGTAAAGCTTCCGAAAGCTCGTTTTTGCGAGGCATGATTCACGTATTCATTACGGGTTTCAGCTATCAGGAAGCGCTTCCCCCTGCACCGGAAGTGTGAATGGATATAGTTTTTTCTTGAAAAAAACAAACAAACAAAAAAAACTAAAAAAAGGCAAAAAATGTTTTTCTTTTTTGGAGGGGAAGGCTTTATAATAACATAATAATGTGTTAAAAACAACAAAGTAAAAACTGTAGCCACTATTATTATAGTCTCTTTGACCTTTCTTCTTGACTGGCAAAGATTAACCAAGACAGGCCAGTAATTTAATTATTGACCTGTAGTCTCTGGTCATGTCATTTAAAGGAATCAAGAAAAAAAAAAAGTCAGGTTTTTCATGGAACCCCATACATTTTTTTTCTATAATAAATGAGATGAAAAGTGAAAACAGCAGTGGGATATGATTTTGTTTTAATCCTTAATACTTTGCTTCTATCAGATAATGATCATTTTAAGGAGGGGGAGGCTGGGTTCATGAAAAGCATATGTAAACAGGGAGAAACCACAGTGTGTTATGCACAGGATACAAACGTGCTACACAGTGAAAAAACAGCCTGTGGAATGACTCAACTGGTCATACATGTGACATTCATCTTAGTCACAAGACAAACACAATATGTCAGACAAGGTAAAAAAGCTATCCAAACCTGCCTGGCCCTGTGTGACACAGTAATTACCCCCCAAAGCTAATAACTGATTTTCCCAACTTTAAAGACCTGCAATAAAGTGTCTTTGATAACTGGCAATGAGTCTGTCACTTTGTTGTGGAGGAATTCTGGCCCACTTTTCTTTGCAGAATTGTTTTAATTCAGCTACAGATTTGCCCGAACAGCTTTGGTACACTTTGATTCTCAAACTCTCTTAGTGAATGGCTCTGTTGAGATCAATCTACAACTTTTTTACATGGGTTGTACTCTGATATTCTGAACTCTCCAAAATATGATTTTTTTAGGGGTTCCAGGGGGGTGACTCCTGTGATTTTAGAAAGAAGTCACATTCTACATTAGTCGATGGGGAAACAGCCCCAAATCCCCATGGACCAGTGCAGATCCATCTAATGACAACGATAATGATGGTGATTTTAAAGACTTATGTGTGTGTCTGTCATTACAGCTAAATGAGAGAAACAAACAAAGATGTTCTGAAACTTAAGGCAATTTTTCAAAGATTCAAGTTTTTAATCAAAGCTGATATTAACAATTTGATGTTGAATAAAACAAACATGAAATTGAAGGACCTTCACTGGTAGTTTCTGCTACATACCAAACATATGTACAGGTGCACTTTAATGTACAACAAGAAAATTGCACAACTGAAAAAGATAATAATAAAATAGTATTTTTAATGCACTTTGTCCGGCTGGTGCAATAAGAGCATAAAGTAATGCAATACAGAGGTTGTGCTTATTGCATGTTTCGGTACTGCCCATGGTAGGTTGCGTTGGATGTATCACCTGTTGGAAAATAGACAGCATGTTTTCTTATTTGAGTTATCTGATTTAATCAGGGGTTGTCAAAGTGGCGAAGGTTGGTTGGAGCATTTCCAACATTCCCAACCCAAGCTCAGAGAGGTCTGACATGAATCATAAATGACAGACTTTAATGTGTCTCAAACACAGGCATTCTCATGACATATAACTGACCCACGTGTTCAATCATGAAGCATTTGGAAACAATGTCCTGGCATGTTATTGCACACAGTTCATTTGAGTTCCTCACTTTTACAAGGAATTTGGCGATGTTTGTGTTGATCTGTGTGTCCTGGATAGTTGGCTGTCTGGTTAGTCGCTGCAGCTGCTTGCAGAAAAAGACCAGTTCTCTGCACGAGCAGTCGGGCCTTCCTTCACAGCTGCAGGGTTTCGGTACAACGACCAAGGACTCCACCACAGCAAAGCAACTGCTCGTTTCTATTACTGAATTGTTTCTTTTTAATGTAGCACTACACTCCAAACTAGTAACCAGCATGTTCTTATAAACACAACGCTTATATTCAGTTACACTGTCACGATGTGGCTGGCACCACGAAAGTGTTTCATTCTTCTGCAACGCTGCAATTTCTCTTGGTGTCAAAACTCTCTGAGAGACACTTCCCAGAGTCACTAACTCTTCTCCAATGTAATTTAATGACTTTGTAAAAGGATCACAACTTGTCATGGAACAGAAGAAGTCTTTGATTTCTGTGCTGGCGTCCTGAAGGGTAGCACTTCCTTGTCTTATTATTTTCTCATATGAAAAGAAATTCTTGAAAATCTGTAATGAAATTGACTGCGTACCAGAGTACATCTGCAACAGTCTG